TCCCGGTGTCATTTGCAAATACCTCAAGATTCGATTCACAACCTCTAAATGTTCTTATATAGGATCATTCATGTATTGGCTCACAATACTAACAGAAAAAAACTATGTCCGGCCTTGTTAGTGATACATAAATTAGTTTATCCACTAACCCTTGGTATTGTTCCATATTTATTGGACTCCCCTATTTTTGTAATTTCATGTTCGTTTCCATTGGAGTTTTCGAAGGCTTGCAACTAGTCATCCCAGTCTCAAACTCTCTTGATCTTGCCACTTCTATGCCCAAAAAATTCCACGAGGTCCCTAAATCTTTGGTTTCAAACTCTTTTGCTAGCAATGTCTTTAATCTCTTTATTTCCATTAAGCCATCACCCACGATGCTGATATCATCAACGTAGACAATTAAGATTGCTTTTTTTCTTGTTTGGTGTAGTCTTTACAAATAGAGTGTGATCAAATTATGATAGAGAAACAACACCGGAGAATATGGAAGTTGCTCGAGTTGAGTAAACAAACATAGAAAGCTCTAGACTCGATGAAGAAATGAGAGAAATTGATGGAACAATGGGTGACGATAGCTAGGTAGTTTTTAGGGTTTTATATGCTAGAATTAAGACAATGAAACAAGAATTAAGACAATGAAACAAGGATTAAGATAATGAAAACAAGGGAAATGAAACAATTAAAAAAATAACGACAAAGTAGAAACAAGAGTTATAAAAGACAACTAAGGGGCCGCTTGGTTCACGACATATGGGATTACCGAGGGAATAGAATCATCATTCCCCTGTTTGGTTGGCCAGCATTCCCAACTCCCAGTAATATTTTATTACTAACAATGGATTTTTTGGGGTATATTACCAGGAATGTGATTACCCCATTCCCTTAGGTATTGCTGGATTACCGACGTTTTGGATTAAAATGCCCTTAATTTGTTTTTCAAAAATATCATTTTTCTGTCGTTGAATAATAAAAATTCTACGAAGGTTAAATTACAAATTTATCCTTAAACTATTTTAGATTTACAAAAAAAAGTCAATAATTAGAATTTTATATGAAGTTCAGAGGTTAAAATAAAGTTTTACCATTTCATTAAACCTATTTATCTTTTCAATTTTATAAAAATATTATATAAATTTTATGAATTTAAATTTTTTTAAAGAAAATATATAAATTAATTATATTAATATTATAGTGGAATTCAACTTGTTAAAAAATAAATATATAATAAGGATAATTTGGTAAAATATATATTCCAATAATCTTTTATTCCTTTAATCAATCACTGTAATCTTACATTCATACTAAACTAACCAAACACAAAATACCAACATTCCCAATAATCCTATTCTCCGGTAATCTTTTATTCTCACTGGTAATCTTACATTCCGTGAACCAAAAGCATCCTAAAAGACAAAACATGTAATGAAAAACTTGAATTTATCTCTTTTAATGTAGACGACCAAGGGTAAGTTGATCTCAGATTTCAACGAATAAATATTCATTGGAAAGATATAAATTTAAGGATTGTAACTGTGAAGACAGAATTGAAATAGGATGGTCGAATTGATGGGAAAATTGATTTGAAATTCTACCCCTGATAGGTATGATATTAACGCAAACCTTAGAATATGGATGAAGATGACGTGATAGTTTGAGGAAAAAGGTGATGTTGTGGAAGATTGATATGAAGGATAATTGTTATATCGAAAACTCCTAGTCGTAATGAAAAAGATAAACATTATAATATGGCTCAAACCATTCCTCTTAATCATAATGAAAAGATAAACTAGATTATAAAGATTTTTCTCTTAAAAATACTAAAGAACTAAAAGGATAGAAGTTTCAGACACACTAGATTATCAGCTCTTGTAAAAATGAACTTTCGTATTGTATATAAGAAAAGAATTGATGATTACAATGGTGGGATGAACATTTTTATATAGATTTTGAGTCTTAGTTATAACATGATTAAAGCACAAAATAATAATAAAATCTATCCTAAATCCATGTGAAGGTGGGCGTCTTGAATGTAAGCCCTTGATGAAGCTTTGATCCGACGGTGTTGATGAAAGCAAGCATGATGAAATCCTTGTAGTTTGATGGACGGTCCATAATATTAATCATGGAAGGGAAGGAGTATTATGTTGGCAAAAGATATACGATCGGATTTCTCAGTCACTGGAAAGCGACGGACGATCCATAATGTTGCCACGTCGCCATAATACTGCCACCATTTCAAATTCACTTATTTTTCTCTGAAAGAACTGTTGTTTTTCTCTCCTTCTTTTCCTCATAAACCATGGCGGATATGGTGTCGGTGGTGATAGTGGTGGTGCTGTTTGTGGTGCTAAGTCCGGGACTGTTGTTTCAGTTGACGGGTAGGAACAAAGTGGTTTGGGAACGTGCAAACCAGTGGGGTTTCGATTCTCGTCCATACTGTCATCTTCTTTGGGCTCATCACTATCTTCCTCATCGCCATTGGTGTCCACATCTACACTGGATAACCACACCCTTAACTCGTGTTTTATAAGATTTGGTCGCTTTTTTAATGTTTTGTTTTGCTTTAAATACCCTTGCGATTGGTTAATGTTATGTTTAACCCGGGGGAAGTGATGGATGCTTTTGTTTTATGTTTGTAATCAAGTTAATAGAAATGATTGGTGAAAAACTAACAAAAATTGTGCTTTTATTGTATGTTTGGACTCTGGGTTTTTACCTCTGTTCTTGCTTCACTAACTTGGAATATCTGATGCTTAAATGCCGAAACAAAAGAAGACAACAACAGTAACTTTGTTTTCACTTAGTTAAGCTGAGTTCACCACTAGGGCGGTAAAGAGTCGACTCAACCATTGTTTTGAAATTCGGGCCGGCCGGTTCAATCGAAAATCGTTGTCTAGTCCGGTTCAATCGAGATCGATTAAACCGCTATTAGTGAATCGGTCAGAATCGTTGAACCGTTCAAATCGGACCGGCTGAAAACCGGAAAAAATCATCAATTTAATTTTTTTTAAAAAAAATTAAACCAAACGACGTCATTTGTTAAACGAGCCAAGTCGAATTCGAGTATTGCTGAGCTCGACTCGAACTTGAAAATTTAAAAGTAAGCTCAACTCGATTCAAACTCACGAGCTAAAAATTATGGAGTTTATCTCGAACTCGAAATATAATATTGAAACTTGAACTCGAAAAGGTTTGAACTCAAAAAAAATTTAAAGCTCGATTGAAGCCTACAATTCGAGCTTGATTAAAGTGAAAGAATAGTTCACTCAATGCTTACCAAAAGGCTCCATGATTTTGAATGTCAAATTAACTCTATTATTTATAGAAGTTAGTTGGGATGATCTTCTATGTTTCTTAGCCATGTAAGATTGTTTAAAAAAAAATTAAACCAAACAATATCATTTTGTTATGATTTTTTAGTCCCAAATTTATTTTTTAATTATAATTATATAATTATATTTATTATTTAATATGTTTTACCTTAAATATTATGTTGTAGTTAATTTGAATCATTTTGTTTCACTTGATTTTATATTTTTTAACTTATATATGTTATGACTTGCTTTGAATATGAATTGTGATATAAAAAATTATTTTTTATTAAATATTTTTAGTATTTTTATTTAATTTTTTAAATAATTATGACGTCGTCCGATTCTTCCGACCGGTCAAACCGATTCGACCGATTGAACCAGTGAACCGGTAGCATGGCCGATTCACTAACCGGTCCGGTTCTGAAAACCACACTCAACTCAATCACCAAGTACCGTTGATTTAAAAAGATAAAATTTGAATTGAATTCGATTTCAAAGTTTATAAGTTTAAATTTATAAAATAAGATTCGAAAACATAATTTAAAAATAAAATTCGATTTGACTTTAGTCTCAGTTAAATACATCAAAATTTTATTATGCATTTTTTAAATAACATATAAATGTTTATTTTTTTAAATTGTTTGTGAGTTTTTTTAGTTGAGTGGTAAATAGTTTATTTTAATAATTTGAGTCGATTTTAAACTCAAATTAAATCTATTTGAATCAAATATTAATTGAATTTTAATTGAGTCTATTTGAATCAAATATTAATTGAATTTTAATTGAGTCTATTTGAATAAAATATTAATTAAATTTTAATTGAGTCGAACTTGATAATTTATTATTTTTAATCTCATTTACAATCTTATTCACGGAAAAAATAATATTAAGAGAAATATTTTTTTTCGAAATTACATTCTATAGAAAAATTATTAACAGCAAATATTTTTTTCTTAATAGTAATATTTTTTGTTAAAATAATGAGAATGTCATCAGCTCTAATTTTATTTTGTATTAGACAGTTTTTACCACTTTAAATAAAGATACCCTTAAATTAATGAATTTTTTATAATGATCATTTTTTCAATTCTTATTTATTTTATTTTACTCAAAATTATAAATATAATAATAATATACAAAGATTTTAATATGATAAATTATTAATAAATTTGAATATTTAAAATTATTTTATATTTTATATTTTTAATATTTAATATATTAATTATTTATAATTTTATGCGGTAAAAAATAACATGATTGTAAGATATAATTATTTAAATTAATCTTTGACTTTAAGTTATTAAAAAATAGATCTTATACATTGAAAAATAATATCTTTGTCCATTCAAGATTATAATATTATTTTTTATATAAATAAATATAATACTTATAAAAATATTTTTTGAATTTTCATTCAAATATTAATAATTTAATATTAAAGTTTAACTTTTTTAAAAATATATATCACAAAGATAATTTGATAAATATATATTCAAGTATTTTATATTCCCCAAACAAGGTAATACAATATTCTCATAATAATATTACATTCCAGCAATATTATTTTAAAACATAATCTTACATTCAGTGAACCAAATATCTTTTAGAATTTTAGAAAATATAAAATTATAAAATTTTAAAGATATTAATATAAAATATATAAAGAAAATATATAACTATATTATGGACGTCCAATCCATCCCTTGTATTCTATCAGACAAAGAAGCTACATAACTCAGTAAGCAGAGTGAACCACACTCCATGCATAAGGCGTGCAATCAATCAAATGCTGTTGCAGGCCATTTTAACTCTCTGACTAAACCCTGTTTTATCATGCTGCGATGCAAATGAGGGTAAACGATTGATGAGAATCAGAGATGTGCAGTATAGTAATTGATGAAATTGTGACGGGGATAATGAGAATAGAGGGGAAATTCGATGTGTAATACAATATAATTATCAACCCAAATCTGCACCAACATCGTATTCAAAAAGAATCAATGGGAAAAAGAAAATTACCAGGAATATCCTTGGGCGGCAAGAGAGGGGCGATGGCATAACAAAGAATCGAACGGCCAAACAGTCGAAACAATCCCAGCAACGTAAAGAACAATGGCCAAACCAACAACCCAAGGCATCAGCATCAACCCTATGAAGAAAGTGATCGATCCACAAAACATCATCGAAACAGATATCCCCAGCATCAGCCATCCGAATCCCGCCGGCGTTATCGTCCGGGGATAACGCCTCCTCTCCGATCCCGGTGATTGATCGGAGAAAAACAGCGCCGTCGCCGTGGGAGGTACTCCTAGAAGATTCAGGACCAGCGCCGATAGGTCGTGGAAAACTCTCGATTGCTGGCCCTGATTTTGCTGTTGTATTGTCATCTTCTTTATCGCAAACAAATTCGTAAAAGAAAATGTCCTGAAATCTATAATCCAACGAAGAATGAAAAAATATTTGATCAGACTTTTTCTTCTTCTTCTTTTCCTTATGTTAAAACGAAGCAAATGGATAAACTCGGGCAGGTATGGAAGAAAAAAATGAACAAGAGTTGTAGCCAAGACTATGTTTGTTTCTCGGGAAAATTCGGAGGGTAAGTAAGAGAGAAAGTGACGCAGGCGGTGCTGTAATTCCGGTTGGGATTGCACTTCTCTCTTATTTTAGACTTTGAGGAATAATATAAAGTTAAAAAAGAAAAAGAGGAAAAAGAACAGAGGTTATGCCCGATACGAAAGGAATAAGGTTAAGGCGTGAAATCATCTGCCTCTACCTAAACCTTCCACGTGGCTTTAATCCACTAGCAGTTTCCAGTACACGCGCAAAATATTTATTAGGGTAAACTACATTTTTAGTACCTAAACTATTACTTTTGTTCCGTTTTGATACCCTAACTTTTGTTTCTCAAAATCATACCTAATATTTAGTTTAAGTTTCAGTTTGATACCCCAGCATTAAAAACTTAACGACGACGTTGACATGTCACCAGAAGGTAATATTGCATAATTATTAAAAAAATTAAAAATATCACGTCAATAATTATGTTAATCTTTTAATGTCAGGGTACCAAATTAAAACTTAAACTAAACGCCAGCTATGATTTTGAAAAAAATTAAAGTTTAGGTACCAAAATAAAATAAAAATAATAATTTAAGTACTAAACGTATAATTTACCCTATTTATTACTATGATTGATATTAATTTTAATTTTTTAGTAATATGAAGTGATTTTAAAATAATATAGGTTTAAAATCCATTTTTTATTTATTGACAATGTATATACTTCAAGCAAATACACTTTTTCAAATATAAAATTTATAGAATAATATTTTTATTATTATTGAGACTTCAATGGATTCTATTAATGTTTAAATTTAGATGTGAACAATATTTTTTTAATAGAAATATTTGAATTATAACGAGTTCTGAATATGGGTTTTTTAAGGTAAATGTAATTTCATTATTGAAAATAAAAAGGGATAATATTTTGTTTTTGTTTTTACTCTATTATATAGAAAAAATATTGTTACTTTACCTAAGAGATACATTGTACGTTGTCCAATGAAGAGTGGAGACCAGGCCATTGATTGCTTTACTTATTAACAACAATTCATTTGAACTAGATTTTAATGCACGTTTCTTTGAAAATGGGATCTTTTAAAAATGGCTTATTTATAAAATAAGAGCCCTAACTATAAAACTTTTCCTAAATAGGTGCCCAAACTTTTTTTTGAATCATTCAGGTGTCTAACTTACAATCATTATCACTTTAGGTGTTTGGACCGTAACAACCATTAAATTTTATCGTTAAGAGACATATGTCACGGTCTGGTAATTTTAAAAAATTTATTTAAATAAAAATATATATTAAAAACCCAAAAAATCAAAAACTTTAAAAAAAATCAAAACTTTGGAAACTCCAATTTCAATCTCGAAACCCACACCGGCCTTCATCATTTGACGTCAATCGAACCTCTACCAGAACCTTCACCCAACGACAAGCCAAACCCGATCATAAATGTCGCATCTTTGACGAAGGAAACAACAAAATCGAAACCCAAAACCACGCCTCCGATGAACTCAAACCCCTAAATTCATGACACCTAAGTGATCCAATGATGTGCACGACAGTAAGAGAGACGACGATCGAATAGGGAGATGGTAAGAGCATCGTCGACAATGGTGGTCATGGTTGGATGTTAGGGTTAGGCTTAGACTTAGACTTAGGGATTTGAGATTTTTAGGGTTTGGGGCTTTTTAGTAATTTTAAAAAATAGGTTTTTTTATAAATACAATAATTAAAAAAATAAAATTACAAAAGCGTGACATGTGTCACTTAACGAAATTTTTAACGGTAGTTAGGTCTTGGACACCTAAAATGGTACTGTTTATAACATTAGGCACCTGAATAATTCAAAAAAAAAGTTTGGACACCTATATGAGAAAAGCTACATAGTGCGTGCACTTATTTTGTAATTAAGCATTTAAAATTATTTAAGTATTTAATAATAGTAAAAGATAATTTACACATGGTGTTTTTATATAATAATTCTTATTTTAAATTTTAGTCTAATTTATATTAATCTTTATGCTACGAGTCTATTCTAAATTGATCCTTAAACTTTAAAAGTATTCTATATCAATCTTTAAACTATCAATATGGTTTTATTTTAATCCTTGTTAAGGTGACATTAATTTTATTGTTAAAAAAATTAATTTGTTTTTGAAAATCATAGAATTTGAACCCAAAATCTTCTACAAATTAGCATAACAATCAAAAAAACAAATTACATTTATTTTAGAAGATCGTGATTTCAATTCCCAATACATTGAAAATATATTAATATTTTTTAAAGACCATAAGTTTAATTCTCTGGACTTTCGAAAACTAATAGAGTTAATGTCGCCTTATCTAAATGATCAAAATATAATGATATTTTATAGTTTAAGGATTAATATAGAATGCATTGAAGTTTATGGACCGAACTGGAAGGGGACTCATAATTTGGAGACGAGTACAAAATCTTTTAAGGTTTATAGATTAATTTAAAATAAAAATCATAGTTTGGGGACATCCTGTGCAATCAGTGGCGATGCACTAAGCCCCCATAGGGCCTAGTGCATCTCCATTATTTGGGGAAAAATGGTTAAATTTGGCTTAACGTGTTAAGGAAAAAAAGAAAAAAATTAAATTTTTTGCATATCCATTATTTAAAAAAAAAGAAAATTAAAATTTTGGACCCTAATTTTTAAATTTATGTATCCACCACTATGTGCAATTATCTTAATTTTGCAATTACAATTGTTTTTTAATTGATAATTTATTTCAAAATAAGAAAAATAAAATTTAATATGAATATGTATTTTTACTTTAAGTAGTTCCCTACTTCCTTGCCTTATTCAATATATATTTGTTGAATATATATATATATATAGATGTTGAATATATATGTTGAAAATGTTAAATTAAGTAAAATGTAATATGAAACATCATCAAAGAAATGATACGAGAGAACATAAACTTTAATAATACAGGGAAAAGGAACTCATTAAAAATAAATAAAATAAACTTGACAGCTAGAGGAATTGAAATTAGAATAGTAAAAAACAATATTTGGAAAATAATATATAAAATACAGATTTTTAGAACGATAAATAAATGACGTTTAATCAAAGTCAATGGTTGTTAATTATTAACTAAGCGTTTAAAACATTAGCTATTCTCTTGGAGGACGCAAACCTCAAGAGTAAGTAAGCAGTCAACGTCATTAATGAAGAGCTATGAATGCCTATCGGAGAGACGATGGTAGATGTAATGCGACATTGGTTGACTGATTATTTTTTAACGATGTTTGAACTTTTAGGTTAATGATCACTGAAAACAGATTTTGAAAAAGTAATTAACTTAGCCATATTCAAAACCTAACCCCACTAAATACAAACATGGCTATCATACATATGTCCACTGTAAAATGAAAAGATTTGAAAGGGATGAGAGAGATTCATGAAGCAAGAAAATAGATATCAGAAGAACTAAAAAGGGGTTATGATGGCTAGCATCACCATTTGCTATTGGTCTAATGTAAAGCATCAAATTTAGGGGAAGTAGATGCTTCTGTCAACCTTAAAAGGGATAGCAAATAGACAGTTTAGGTTAACCTTATGATCTTTAGTGCTTGATCAAATCAGACATGCAACCCCAAACCAAATTTATCTCTGACCAGCTAAAGATGAACATAACAACAATTCTCATAACATAAATATAAGGAAGTATAATATAGCCTTTAAAATAAATCACCTTATCAAAGTTTCCTCTGATAAATTTTAAACTTTGTATAATGAAATATCGGCACTAAAAGAATCAAACAGACTTGCAAACTTTCAACGATAAGTAATTTAGAACTGCTTTTAAGGAATATGAGAGATCATATGATAAGATAAACTAAAAGCAAGGCGAATTTAAAGCTGGGAGAAACTGCAAATAGATTCATGCACTTTTTTCTTTCTTATATTTTTTTCTATATTTTCTCAGGAATCAAACAACAGCCAACAAGAAAAAAAAAATCAAAATAACAAAAAAAAAAAAAGCAGAAAAAAGATAAAGTAGAACTTTCTTCTTCTTCTTAGAAACAGAAGAGAAAAACAGTGAGAAGTTGAGATAACAACAACAACATCAACAAATATCTAAATGGATTGATGGATCAAAATATTGAAAAGGATGATTAAAATCAAAGAAAAAAAATTCTCTTTATGTTTTTATTTACTTAAAATCAAGCAAAGAGATGGACTTTCCGATGAGACTCTATGCATCAAGTATTATAATTACCTGTGAGAAGATGAATGATCGTTTAAGTAATCGTCATGGATGAGTCGCCGAGGAGAGTAAAGTGATGGTTTTTGGTTGGATGATTTTGAGTGTCAAGAATTGTGAAGGGTGGAATTAGACTTGTAAAATGACTTATCCATTTTCAGAAGGTAAGTTGTTTTATGGGAGGAAAAAAAAAGGATCTTTTTACCTTTGAAAGTTAAGTGTTTTCAATTGACCAAAAAGTTTTCCTTTGAACCAAACACAAGAAAATTATAAAAACATTTTGCGTAAAATGTTTTCTTTCTAAACAAACAAACCCTAAGTTTTATTGTTAAAATTATTTTTTTGGTTTAAAAATATTTGGTTAATAAATGTATATATTTTTTAAAATATTTGTTTATAAATAAATATCTATAAAATCAACTTTTTCTAACAAAAATTAAAAGATAGTTTAAAAATCTGCCTTTACATTCTGAGTAAAAAAAAAAAATTTAAGAGTTGATTACGTCTCAAAGTTAAATTATCCTCACAACTCTCAAATTGGAATTGAGCGACCTCAATGGTAAATAAATTATTGTTATTCTTTGAGGTCCACCAGATTCAAAAAACTGTCAAATTAACTTTTTAATATAATATGTGTTGCTAGTTTTTCAAAAAATTATGAATATAAATTTAACTTTAATTTTGATTTTCAGAAACATGAAGCAAATCTAAATATATGTACTGAACTTTATTTGGAAAACGAAACATATTTAAATTAATTTTTTAAATTGAAAAAAAAAAATCATAAAGGCACTCGAGGTCCCTAAACTTAAAAAAAAAACGTGTCCTCATCCTATTTTTTGGATCAATGTGG